CTAAAGAACCCACATTTGTATGTAAGAAACGGGTGAATAACACACTAAATGGTGTTAACCCTAAAGAACCCACTTTATATGTAAGAAACAGGTGAATAACACACTAAATGGGGTTAAGCCTAAAGAACCCACTTTATATGTAAGAAACGGATGAATAACACACTAAATGGTGTTAGCCCTAAAGATCCCACATTTGTATCTAAGAAACGGGTGAATAACACACTAAATGGTGTTAAGCCTAAAGAACCCACTTTATATGTAAGAAACGGATGAATAACACACTAAATGGTGTTAACCCTAAAGAACTCACATTTGTATGTAAGAAACGGGTGAATAACACACTAAATGGTGTTAACCCTAAAGAACCCACTTTATATGTAAGAAACGGGTGAATAACACACTAAATGGGGTTAAGCCTAAAGAACCCACTTTATATGTAAGAAACGGGTGAATAACACACTAAATGGTGTTAACCCTAAAGTTCCCACATTTGTATCTAAGAAACGGGTGAATAACACACTAAATGGTGTTAGCCCTAAAGATCCCACATTTGTATGTAAGAAAGGGGTGAATAACACACTAAATGGTGTTAACCCTAAAGATCTCACATTTGTATGTAAGAAAGTGGTGAATAACACACTAAATGGTGTTAATCCTAAAGATCTCACATTTGTATGTAAGAAAGGGGTGAATAATTTTAAGATGTTTTGAAGGTTGTTTTTTTTTTTTTTTGCTTTTATTGAAGCTAACAAGAAACGATGAAATTAAAAACCTTTTTATTAAAATATTTGGAGCATATAAAGTGGGATTTCAAATAGACAACGTTAAGGATTTTGATGTTTTTATTGAATATGTAGAATTGTTCTGAAAGTTCGGTGTTAGATTGGCTCTGAGTTGTAATGAGTGCAATCATCTAAAAACCAACACCTACCACGTGTTCGTTGCTCTCTAGTCACGTTCTTACCATTTGTGAGATCCACAGCGTTTGGAATCATGATACAAGTGAATGTTGGATCTTCTAGTTGACCCTTATGTTTTGATCTTTAACCTTTACAAGTGAATGTTGGATCTTCTAGTTGACCCTTATGTCTTGATCTTTAACCTTTACAAGTGAATGTTGGATCTTCTAGTTGACCCTTATGTCTTGATCTTTAACCTTAATATCTAACAGATAGTCTTCATAAGTGACCACTGCAACTGAGAGATAACCACCGAATTTCATAAGTAACCGTTCATCTACCTTCATTCCTAATGACCGTGACAGCTGACCACCGACTTTGTTACATGACCTTTCACCTGATGATCACTGACCTTTTAGAACCAATCATTTATTGCCCAGTGTGTTTAATGTGCTTCAAGTTTTGTAATAAATTTATATTAATATTATTCCTGCTAACACTCAAATCCAAAGTAGGATTTAGGTCCTCAGTTATCGAAGTCCACAAAGACATTTTTCTAAAAAAAACATCAAAAGTTTGAAAATATTTCGATTGGTAGATTCATCTTGATCTCATTGTCATCAATTGGTCCAGATAAGAAGTGAAGTACTAAACACCATTTAGTGTAGTTTTCTATATCGAACAGAGTCACATAGAATATTTTAAAACAGATGTGCAGAGTGAGCAGAAAACAACGACAACAACAAAAGTTTTAAAGTAAGAAAGCATGGTGTGTAATTAGGTAACTTTTCAACTCGTCTAAAACTACTTTGTGCCATGTTTTCCACGACAAAGGTGATTTCTAAAGCAGTAAAAAGTAACAATGATTCTGTTGTTAGGTTTAACAATTGTATGTTACACGTGTTATTCTGTACTTTAGACACCAGTTTGTTGTTGTTGTTGTTGAGTGAATACAACAAATATTCTACAGTAGTGTTTTCTGACCAGTCTTGAATTGTATTATATATTTTAATTTTGAAACCCATGTCTAAAGAGGAAATGATTTGAATTGATCTATTAATCTTAGATTTTGCGTCTGTTTGTCTGATGAAACCGATATATAACATCTGATATTGAGTTTCAAGGTTTTGCGTTTGTTTGTCTGAAGAAACCGATATCTGTCATCTAAAATGAGTTTCAAGATTTTGCGTCCGTCTGTCTGATGAAACCGATATCTGTCATCTAATAATGAGTTTCAAGATTTTGCGTCTGTTTGTCTCATGAAACCGATGTCTGTTACCTAATATTGAGTTTGAAGATTTTGCGTCTGTTTGTCCGAAGAAACCGATATCTATCAGCTAATATTGAATTTCAAGATTTTGCGTCTGTTTGTCTGATGAAACCGATACATATAATATTGAGTTTCAAGTTTTTGCCTCTCTTTGTCTGAAGAAACCGATATCTGTCATCTAAAATGAGTTTCAAGATTTTGCGTCTGTTTATTTGATGAAACCGATATCTGTCATCTAATAATGAGTTTCAAGATTTTTCGTCTGTTTGTCTGATGAAACCGATATCCGTCATCTAATACTGAGTTTCAAGATTTTGCGTCTGTTTGTCTGATGAAACCGATATCTGTCATCTAATAATGAGTTTCAAGATTTTGCGTCTGTTTGTTTGATGAAACCGATATCTGTCATCTAATAATGAGTTTCAAGATTTTTCGTCTGTTTGTCTGATGAAACCGATATCTGTCATCTAATAATGAATTTCAAGATTTTTCGTCTGTTTGTCTGATGAAACCGATATCCGTCATCTAATATTGAGTTTCAAGATTTTGCGTCTGTTTATCTGATGAAACCGATATCTGTCATCTAATAATGAGTTTCAAGATTTTGTCACTAAAAAAAAAAAAAATCGAAAAACGAGTGAAACTAAACTTCCAGTCTAAATGTACGTCACAAGTTTTATATCAGGAGAACTGTTTTTATAACATTTTAGTTTGAAAGATTGGAGCACACTGCCATCTGTTGTTTTAATATAAAACTAAGTATATTGTTTACCCATACCATGTTACCACTGTATTATTTTGCCATGGAAACGCCTCGAACCTGATGAAAAGCTTTTGAAAGAGTGTGGGAACTGAAGGTAACAAATGCATATTATGAGGTTAACGTGGAATTCCTTTATATTTCGCACTAACTGTGTTTTTTATGTAGTACAAGAAAATAAAAAATAATAAACGAAGTTTTTTTTATTAATCTCTTATTTACAAATCCTAGAAATCTGGGACATCTTCTCAACCGCTGCGTAGTGCAAAAACAGAACAAAAAAGAACAGAATAACTAAAGACAGCAGGTCAGACTCAGTCAAGTGATGCTGAAACGTCTTCAGTATTTAGACATGGGTTTCATAGAATAACTAAAGACAGCAGGTCAGACTCAGTCAAGTGATGCTGAAACGTCTTCAGTATTTTAGACATGGGTTTCATAGAATAACTAAAGATAGCAGGTCAGACTCAGTCAGGTGATGCTGAAACGTCTTCAGTATTTTAGACA